GCGTTGCGGTTCTGTCCTTAAGGGCTCTACTGGAGGATATGGCACATGGATCTGGTTCAGTCCGCCGTGCTGTACAGCGTGATGACTCTCATCAGTACCTACCTCGTGGCGTTTGCATATAAGAATGTCAAGTTCGTCCTCAAGCACAAGTGAGTTAGTGATTGCCTGGTGTACGTCTTTGTTTGTAATAATTCAGCAAAAATGTAGTCAGCGTTTTTATGAAGATGTGAAATGTTGCACTGTAGAACCTCGTGCTTGAATCAATAGATGTAAGCCGGGCTGCCTCAGTATTTACTGTCATTGAATCCCACTGTATCAGCTGATGAACTGCATTAGGTTGTGAGGACAGTATAAATGCTGAGCTGTGAGCTTTAAGAGTGGGAAATTTCACAGCTCAAATGTTAAGCGATCAGCTTTGCTTTTTGACTGCTCTTCCATTGAAAGTCCTTGATCGTGATGTAAGATATGACACAAAAGTGTCCACTGCATACTTTTCTTATAGCTTGGGATCGTTACCTTCAGCATGGGGTAAAAAGGTGTTTGGACTGAGCGTGTATTCCATAGGCTTCTTTGGTGTCAGTAACTTCTGACTGCATCTGTCACATCTCCTGTAGAACAGACCTGCCTTGTCTGCTGGGAGAATGATGAAACAGCAAAGCAACCCTTGTTCTCAGGGGGTATTACCATAAACTGTATTTGACAAGTACTTCTCATAATTTGATTACTGCTAATTGTCTCTTCAGCATGGCAAAACTATTTGTTATCTTGGCTACCCATTATTTTTCCTTGCATAATACATCTTACAATAGTCCTTATTTCCCCCCCCCCTTTATTTTTCAACTTTACCATGAATGGTGTTTCTTATAGGGTTGCACAGAAGAGAGAAGATGCCGTTTCCAAAGAAGTTACTCGCAAGCTTTCTGAGGCAGACAACAGGAAGATGTCTCGGAAGGAGAAGGATGAAAGGTAATGCCCCTTTTTTTTGGTCTTTCCTTTGTTTTAATACTAGTTACACTATCAACCTTTTGTCCGTCTGTAAATCCTCTTCTTAATTATCAGTGCATGATCTCAAATGCCTCTCCATTCTTGATATGTAAAGGAAGACAACTTTGTGTACAAGGCTGCTAATAGCTGTCTGATGAGTAACAATCATAGCTACCTTCAGAATTAAGATAAATTTATTTCTTTAAGAACAGATTCATGTAATGTACTTTGCTTAGTGGAATGCAAGTTCTTTCTGTATAGTGTTCCCATATACTGCTCTACTGTGCTGCTCATTAGTAGTTGCACTTTTTACCCCAGTGGTTATAACTGGCAAAGCAAGTATGCAGATTTCCAGTTCAATAACTTACTGATATCCAAGATATGCCTGGATAGATATTGCTCCTTGTTAGATTAGGTGCCTGTTAGGACCATATGAGGTGAGCTTCTCTTCGCTTCTCTTCAGAGTGAAAAAGCCACATCTTTCTTTCTAATTGCCAGGCATGCTGTTGATATGTAGCAGATACAAACTTGCACAGACTGCTGTTTATAAAGCACTAGGTTTGGTGTACAGGGTGGGAAAACAATTGTAAGTCACTTAGAGACAGAAGCGCAGAGTATATACAGGCTTTCCTTTGACTACTGAGTTGACTGGTAGTTTTTGCAGTGCTCTGTCTTTTAGAAGCTGGCTGTGACAAGAGCTGTGGTTTACTTCCCCACTGGATGGAAGTCTCTTCTTAACTGTGAATGTCAGGATATGCATTGACTTAAGTGCATTTTGAAATGTTTTTACTTGTTCCTAGGATTCTGTGGAAGAAAAATGAAGTTGCAGATTATGAAGCAACAACCTTTTCCATCTTCTACAACAATACTCTCTTTCTGGTCCTGGTCATCATTGCTTCATTTTTTGTGCTGAAGAATTTCAACCCCACTGTGTATCCTTTATTACCGCACCTGAAACCACCAAAGTCCTTACTCCCATTGGTTGCCATTTATAGATACATTTGTTATCTGGGTAGCACCTTCACCCTGCTGAGGTGTGCAATTTGTTGTGGTTTTTCAACTCAGAAATGTTTGAATGTAGAAGTAGACAATACAAAAAAAAAAACAAACAAAAAAAACCCAAAAACAACCAACCCCAACACTTCCAAATTATATAAATGTTTATCATCTGATATTGGCTCTCACAGAAATCTCGTGACTTTCCCCATTTCATTTGTAATTCTGCAGTCAGGAGGCAGTGTGTGTTTACAGAAAAACTACAATGGTGTTGTCAAATGCTGTGAAATTATAGGATTGTTTAGTTTTGGTAACTTCACATAAAAATATTTTTGTTACTTAAATGCTGCTGATGAGTACTGTATCCATAAGAGACCTGCTTTATTTATAAGCACTTTGACAAGAACAGGCTAACCTTTAGAGGCATCTTTATTTTAAGGTTAAATGCACTGTAAACAGAACAACTGGTTCATAACCTTGGTTGAAAGTTATATTTCAAGTTAGTGTCTGTAATGTGACGGAAAGCATAGCATTGATAGCAGAATACCAAGGTCCCAGGCTGTAGCCAGTAAGGATTTGCTCAAACACAGCAGCTGTGGGCACAGAAATAAAGGACAGAAACTACTTACCTTCAGAAGGCCTCAGGTACACAGGAATCTCCAACAAGATACCCTCACCTCTACTGCTAACCCTTAGATGAAATCTGGGAAGGGGTGCATCCTGGCTCTACTCCTTCCATCATTCAGGTACATTGCATGCACTTGAGCTCCCCTGGATTGGTTCTGCCTTCCCACCAGATGCTCAGTCATGGTTTCAAGCCCTTACTTAACATTTCTGCTGCACTGTTGCAGTTCCTAATTTAAAGCTTTACAGAGGAAAACCTTTTGATTCATTGTTTTTGGTAAAACTTTTACCACGTTCTGTAAAAGCAAAAGTGGTACCTACCCATGTATGCTTCTTTAACTTTCTTCTTACAGAAATTATATCCTTTCCATAAGTGCTTCGTCTGGACTGATTGCCCTGCTGTCTACAGGATCCAAGTAGACCAAAGAAAAAGCAATTTGTTTTTGTGGGAGGGTTCAACTTCTGCTTGAGGGTGGAGTAAAAATAGTATTTTTTTTATAATGGGACTGCCTGAGGGTTTGGGGGGAGGTTTTCGATTGAAAGTTCATTTACTTTTGGTATCTTTATATGTTATTGCTCAATAACTGAATCTAATATTTACTTGGTATTGAAAGTAAATGGCATGTGAGCTGTTATCAAACAGCTTTTCTGAAATATTTCATAGGTGTGATGGTACTGCAGACCATTAGGCAGTATGAGTCAACCACAAGGGACTGCTGCACAGCAGCACAAAACAGCTATAGTCAAACCCCATAGTGGAATTTTTCCATAAACTATTAGAAAAGCTGCAGTCTGTGATCATAAAAATTGACAATCTATCCCTTCTCATTGTAACTTGCAAAGTTTTAATAAAAAGGAGACTTTCTGTCATTAAATACCTTGTATTTCCTTTCTCAGTCCCTGAAAGTGGGTATCTCTGTGGGTGAGCAATGCGTGTAGGTTTGTCAACTCTCTCCACTACCATAAGAGAGGAATCTCCTGCAAGTCAGTGTAGGATTGCTTTCACTGGAAATACTCCTCATTTTTAAATAACTTTGAGATAAAAACCTAAACAGTGACTCTTAGGAAAATGTTCTTTAACTGGTTTTCATCTTTCAAGTCATAAATAAAAAAAAAAAGGACACAATTGAACTAAAAGGCTCTGGCTGGCTTTCTGTAATGGCTTTGTCAGGCAATCCTTTTGCCTTCTTTCAGGCTGTCTGTGAAGCAGCTGTTGCATTAAATGCTAAAATCAACCGCTATTAATGGAGTTATATTTGGAAGTTATGGATACTGCTATTACATACTTGCAATCCCAAACAAGGAAGAGAAATCTTATAATCAGATTTAATGTAAAAATTACTTCGCTCTTTGTGCTTCTATGAGATTCATATTTATGTATAGTTTAGTAAAACAAAGATTTGAAAATTCAGGAGATATTCCAAGGCAACCCAGATAGCATTTGCTCTGTGTGAGTTCTCTGTAGGAATTTGAAACAGGTTTTTCTATGCTAAGTTGTCAGTTTTTCAGCTTCTATAGTTTTCTGGCCTGCCTTGCAGCTCTGGTGCAAGGGCTACTGATGGAGGAGCAGAGCTGAGAGCTGGATTAAAGTAATATTGTGACCACAACAACAGTGGCTAAGAAGTGTATTTCTAATATGGGTTTTGATGTGTTCAGCGCCAGTACAAATACGAAGCAGTATCAGCCTTAGTACTACTAAGTCTTTAGCACATGTAAAACAGCATCTGACTTGCAGTCATAACACAGTGTGAGGCCTGTTCTGTTTCACTGCTCGGCGATGGGCTCAGCTCCTGCTGGAAGCACACGGCATTTGGATTCAGTGCCACAGACAGGCAGTGCCAGTTCTCAAGTTAGCTGTCAGTGTTTGCAGGGATGAAGGCTGCCCTATCAGACACTTTGCAGGTGTATTTTCCATGAAATCTGCCATCTAGAGAACAGTAATTTGAAGCAGCCCTTTCTTCTGCTATTACTGTCAGCCTGGTGAGTCTTTTATCAGCAGCTTTGCATCTCACCTTGGTTTTTTTGCCATTGCCACTTCCCGAGGCCTGGAGCACATTGTGTCAGCTTCTCTGAAGAGCAAATGCTGCAGTGCTGACAGCCTGAAACAAATGTTTTTCATGGGCGTTCTCGTGTGTGTGTTGGTTTTGCATTTTTCTTTCAGTTTTTCTGTTTCATTTTTCTGGACTTCTTCACAGAAAAGCATTGGGATTTGTTGTTTTAGGGTCAGGATGGCTTTGTTTTCTTTAATGTCCAATACAAGCTACACTCTGCTGCTTAATTGTGATGCTGCAGGTTAGCCCAGAGCTGGACCAAGGCAGCACTTCCCCACACCGTGCTCTGTGTCTGTGCTTCACACAGTCAGTGTCGCTATCAGTAAAGGGTCTTTAAGTATAAAATCAGTTGCACAAAATGCTTTTATTTTGTCCAAGCAGAAGTCAAAGTCAAATTGCATTTCTTGCTATACAGCAGCTAAGTTCATTTACACAGACCATAGCTTGTTAGAATAGATACAGGAGGAAACAAATCAAGTATTCCCATCTGTTGACGTGAGCGCTGCGCACACGCAGCAGAGATCCTGAAGGTTGGGGGTAGAATACAGGGGTCCTACAAATACTGTACAAAGCTGTACACTCTAGGAAGCGTGTTCCTAAAGTGTGTGATTCAGTACCAGTGTGAAGGGTTTACTGAAATCAGAGGTGCACTTTACAAAGCAAACTTATGGTAAAATATGATATGGTTCTCAAGATGGGCAAATTAATTGGTAAATGTTTACTATCAACTCCTGTAGAGGGACAAAATGCTCACAAAAGAACTACCTGTTTAAAATGTGTCCTAAAAACACTATGCGTTTACTTATGCCCGATTCCAGAACAAGTTAAAGCAAATGTGGCCTTCCAGCAATGTACACACACCTGATTTTATCTGGCATTTTTCAGCAGCTATATGTTTTATATATAAATATCTACATCCTCAGAAGCTCAAGAATATTAAGATTTGCAATAGCTATGTCTACAAGCAGGCAAAAGTAGAGGCAAGTTTCTATAAAACGCAAAAAAAAAAAAAAAAAAAAAAAAAGTTTCACCATGGCTTTCTTGGTTTGAAGTTTATGCAGAATTAAACCATTGCAGACAGCAGATGTTGGTGTTAACCTGACATGCACTCTGGGGCTTTCTAACTGTGCTCTTCTGTTTTGTACTCAGAGATACTGCTGAAGAGCACTCCGCAGCTGGAATAATGGTTTAGTTAGGAGTTGAGCTATGTAACTTCTAATCAATTCTCTGACTGAAGTCCATTATTCAGTTACAAACAGAATCTATAGCGTCTGTTCAGCATAAAAAAGCAAGTGGAAAATTTGAACTTACCCATTCTGCCTCTTAACCTGACTGAAGAAACTCTGTGTTGAGATTTCCCAAACGTGGTTTTATTAAAACCTTAAGTTGTATCTGGCTTTTTCTTCATTGAAAAAATATATCTGTACATCCTTCTTTAATTACCGAGTACCTGAAGGCTACAAATTCTTTTTTGCTTTACATATGTTTTTCACAGCACAAGCATGAGGTGCTAAGAGAAAAGTAAAAATTAATGAAGTCGGTTGAAGGTAAGAAAATACAAGATTATTCTTGCTTGTAAAGGAGATCGACTGTGCTTTTAGATTTCACTGCGGATTGGTAGCAATGGTAGCACACCTGGAAGGAGCCGGTACCGGCAGACACCGAGCAGCAAGCTGCTGAATGATTCTAATGACCCGATAGTAACTCAGGACTTCTGTACAGAGCACTTATCAAACCATGCAGTCCAGGTGATTCATGCATTGCATTATGATCTGTAGTCCTTCTTGCTGTAGGGCTTATTTCCCAGGATGTTATCTATTTCATTTACAATATGCGATGTCATCTTTGGAAGAACCTAGAGGTAGAAGAAAATTGACATTTAATTCAGTTTCCACTGAAGATAACCATGGATTGTTTGCAAATTTAAATCTGGATTTTATCAAATGTTTCCTCTGTTGTTGTTCTTTCTTCATGCATATGTGACATATTTAAGCATTTATTTGATACCTTTCTCCCTTAAAGAAATAACTGTAGTGACTTTGCCCTGTAAGACAATCACAGAAACCATTGTCCTGAACTCTACATGCACTCAATTGCAACAGAAACAAAGCTGGTGGCAGGAATGCCCTTATCTGCAAAAAGCAACAGAGAATAATTAAGGTCCAAGGCAATGACATAGGCCTGTGCTTTTCTTCTTACTAACACTGAAGATTTGGTGTGGAATATAGCATCATGTGTCTTGACATCAGTTCACTTGCTTAGTGAGCTTTTAGACAAAGAGTGAAACAGCACATTGAACTGCTGAACATGGATGTAAGCACTGCAGATGGCTATAAGTCAATGAGGTGCCATAGGTTTGCCTAATCGATGTGTACAACTGGGGCTGAAACAACACACCACAGGTTGAGATTCAGGTAGGAAAATGAGGGCACTGTTGTCAATGCGGATGTAACACAGCGGGCGCTGGGCAGGAGCTGCCCCACCTCTGGCACTTGCCTGTATGGCTCCGAGGTTCTCGATCAGCTGCTCTGGATTGGAAGATCCTAGAAGGACAGAGCTCACCCCCTCGTTCCTCAGACACCACGCTGCAAACAAAGGCATGGGATGGTCAGGAACAAAGGGCTCACCTCACTGTGCTGCTGCCCATCCGGTATTTGTCAGAGCTTCTCCCTTTATTTGAAGAAGAGCACTGCTACTATTTTTGGAAGCCGTCATTTTCCAGGTCACTTCTGAGTCATTTCTAATCCCATTAAACAGGATAGTTATGCATCATGTCGATATCTCCCTTTTCCATTTTTAAATGTGCTGTCTCTCATTCATCGGATTGTTCTTGTTCCCACTAAATAAGGGCTGGGAATGCCTGGTTTGCTGCATCTGCAACATTTTATGGTTTGGTCTTCCTCCTGATCTGGCTCCTCTCTCAGCTAAATAATTCAGGAATACTCGATCCGAGGTAAACATGCCCCTAATATTTTCCCTCATCAGTCCTTTCCTGGTTGCCTTGTCCTTTTCTAATTGCTAAATAACATTACTGCTTGCTCAAAAAAAGTAATTTTGTATGAGGAGAATAGAGCAGTTGTTCCTCAAAGGCAATAGATGGCATTGTCATGTCATAAAATAATGGAATTATAGATAGAACCATAGAATGGCTTGGGTTGGAAGGGACCCCAAGGATCAGCAAGTTCCAACCCCCTGCCACGGCAGGGCCTTCAACCTCCATATCCTACAGTGGTCTTGGTTCCTTCTGTTACTGCGTCCCTCAAAATGTGTTACCCTTCCTGAATTACTGCTGCAATTCACATCATCAGTCTCTCCACATTCCTGCCATTTTATTCCATAATTCCTCACGTCATTCCTCATTACTCATTCTAGTGTTATAACTGAAAAACACATCTACAGATACAGCCAAAGAGAAAGCTGCCCTCTGTCCTGTTTGAAAGGCAACACAGCTTTTTCAGTTTCTATTTACGTAGGCATTGCTGACTCCAAAGCAAACACCTGGAGCTCAGAGTACCTGCAGCCTCCCAGGTCTGTGTAGGAGTTCATCTGCACTCCTCTTTCAGCCACGCAGAAGGCACTGAATCTTCAGCTCAGAGTATTTCCCTTTTTACTAGGAAGATGGGAGCTAAGTCGTGCATTTCTGACAAAGAGCAAAGAGCAAAGGCATTCAAGTGCTAATGACATCATCCCTGCTCCCCTTACCGACTGCTAGCTGAGGTAGTGTGCAGCCAAGGCGCTCTGCAATGGGCGAGAGATCCTTCAGCTTTGTTTGCTGCTTTCTTCCCTCCTCGCTTATGATTTTTTCTTTCAGCCACTGGTAGCACTGGAGAGGAATTACATTGCAGTCAGATGTTGATTTTAACCTTCCAAAGTGAAAGGTTGGTGCGAATAGAAACATCTGTGAAAATCCCCGTGATGCAGTGATATGCAGGGCTGGGCGGGATGTCCCCTCCTGCTGCCTGCTGTTGTAGTGAAGCCTTTGTGGGCTTCACCCAAAGTTCTGACTCTGAAGTGTTACATTTGGAACACTGGACCCAATTGGAAAATGATGAAATATTGGTCAGCTTCTGATACGCCTTCTTTCTCCCCCCAGAAAAGTGAGAGGACACTGATCTTGTTCAAGGTTTACCATTGCCTCTCAAGATTAGAAAGCTAATGAGAAGGAGCTGAGATTTCAGTTTGTATTCAGACCTGACATTTGATTCTCTTTCATTCCCACCAATGTAATTCAGGTCCCTCTGGGAAATGCTGCCTTCTGAGCTAGCCTGCAGTAAATTGCCCAGAGTTTGTCTTGAAATGTAGCCTTCATGTTGAAAACAAATTACAAATGCTATGAAATACCCCAATTGAAAATCATCCTCCTTTGTAAGCACCATCCTCAGTGCAGGCTGCACCTTTCTTTTCAGCTCATTCCTTGAGGCCCACCCATGGGGATGGATTCCTGCTGCTGTTTGCCTGCCCTCAGCACTGCAGCACATCCCCTTTCCCCAAACAAGTGACACAAATACCTTCAGGGCAGCCCTTGAGCTTTCGGGGACCCCGTTGCCGTATTTCCCTGAGATGATCCCGCAGGCGAGGGGAGACCACGTCATGGCACCCACCCCTGCAGGGAGTGGATAGAGAGTCATGGAGTCAGGAGATCTCTGGGTTGTACCAGAACCTGCACACTCAGCCCAGAGAGCAGCCACTGCTGCCTGTTGGTACGGTGCTGCCAGGACTCCTCAGCCCCTTGGAGGGCACTGGAAGCATCATCCTGGCAGATGCAGCCATGCTTCCTCCTCCTCCTTTCACATAGGCTGCCCTCAGTGCTCACACAAAGCCCTGTATGAGCCCTGCTCAGATAGGTCGGTGCCCACTGGTCCCTGAGGGCAAAATGCAGCCATGGCAATTAACAGCTCTTGCTATCAGAGATGCAGCAAGCCAGGCTTTCTGCTAGGCCGTGGGCTGGGCTCTTGCATTCTGCTTGTGCAGCAGTGGGGAGGGATGGGAAATCACTCTTCCCCTCCAGAGCCTCAGGTGTGGCCCTCCCTTATTTCTCTCTAAATAAAACAGATGACGTGCTCAGCTGCAGATTTACCTATTTTGTGGTACAGTTCCGGCAGCTGAACCTCCACTTTCTCCCTTTGGAAGAGGTGGTACTCAGCCTGCTCGCACACAGGCGGTATCATGTTGAACTGCCGGGCCACCGAGTAGGCTTCCTGGGGAGAGAGCATGGGAACACATCATTCACGTAAAGAGTGACACACACACCCTGCAGAGCAGCCCTGGGGGCTGGGAAATGTGTGTCCTGGTGCCAGCTTATGGCTTTGCTTTACCATGATCTCCATAGCACTCCAGCGTGACGTTCCCCAGTACATGGCCATGCCCTGGTTGATGACGTGTGTCATTGCTCGGACGATTTCTGAGGGAAAAAGACAAACATAAGAGAACTCTGTGTCAACCCCCACCTGCCCCCGTGCTGCTCCTGCATGCAGGAGTGCTACCATCACAGCTGGGGGCTGCCAGCACAATGTGGCACTGCAGGACCCAGCCACCATCTCTGTATGTGAATTTGGGGCCGGTCCCACAGCTGCAGGTGCTGCAGCCAGAGCAGCTCCAGCCCACGGCAGCGAGGAGCAAAGCTTGGTGGATCACTGCACTGTGGGAATTGAATGTTGTTTCTGCATCAGAACAAAATAAGAATTTTGTTAACTTGATGGCTTCTGCTACCATTTGGGTCCTTTATCAGAACTAATAATGCTTTTCAGGGGCCTTTCTACTTTATTGGGGTTCTCTGATAAGTTTTCATTATTAATCCTCTGAATAAATTTTCCCCAACAACTCAGTATATAAGTAAAGTAATACATATGTATATATATCTATATATCTGTAGAGATTAGGTAGATGGAGTAAATTATAAGAATAGAGAATTAAAGGATATATATAAGCTAGTAACAACTTACGTATAGCCAGCACTGAAAATATATGTCACACACATTGCAAGAGCATCCTGTGCAAACTAAAAGGACAATTCGTTGCACGCCTCAGGGAGGGTCTGAAGAAGGCATTGAGGAAGATCGGGCACCTCCCCTCCGTACTCTTTGTTTAACAAGGACTCTGAACAAAATCACCATATCAATACGAACAAGAAGAGTGTTGAGACATCTTGAAGACCACAGGGCTGACACCAGATAACAAATAAATTAACAAATGTAAACCTCTGATAAGATTGTGAACCTGGAGTACCCCGCCAGTGGCGAAACAGGGGAGGGAGGGGGGGAGGCAAGGGGAAAAACCAGGGTCTAAAGACTGTCATCTTGTGCCCATAGGTGCACTCCTGCTTGCGGGACGCCCGCCACTGCAATCGCGAGTAAAGTCTGCTTTTATCAGAGATACCGTCCTGACAAAAATTATTTGGATGTTTCCAACAGCACCATGCAGCAAAGTGGAGGGAAAGCGTAGAGGCTTATCTCACAGCTTTAAGGAACTTTTTCCAGCTGGTTGTTGTCTAAGTATTATCCCACAATAATATTCTTCCTAAAATTTATCACTAGAGGGCAGTAGGAACGAAAAATAAACCAAAAGACCAAAAAAATAATAATAATAATAATAAAAAAAATCATTTTCTATTTTGTCCACTCCGAGCATATATTAACACCTGCTTCTTTGCACTACGGCCATTGAGATGCTGCTGAGAAACGAAGCAACTGGAGAACACAGCGGCTTCTGCTGGGCGCCTTGCTCTGCATGCAGCTTCAACCTGCTGACACCCACTTCGGGTGGATCTCCTGCTCCTTGCTGCTCCCCAGGGTTCTTCTGCTCCTGCCACTCCTGAGCAGCCACTCCTGGTAAACAGGGCCATGAGCATGGGCTCACAGTGGGTGGGAAACACCCTGGTCAGTCGGGGTGGGCCTGGCACCAGGGCTCTTCCAGATCTATTTGCTGCTTTGTTTTCATGAGGCTCCACCAACTTGAAAATCAATTTCTTCCCTCTGGGATGCTTCCAAAAGTAAGAAGAGCAGATAGCAGATGCACGGGGAAGAAGAGATCCCACACAAGGATGCAGGATGAGCCTTCCTCCCACCCCACGTACATCTTCCTCCTTTGGCACAATACACTCACACCTCCTCCACTTCCCCCCCTTCATGCCAAGCCACGGCTGGATGGGTTCTTGTTGAGTAATCCAATCCTCCCAGCAACAAAACGGCACTGAAAAATGGCCCTGAAAAATATTTACCCTCATGGATGATGTGAGCCACGAACAGTGCATCACTCAGACTGACAAAAATACACTGAGCGGATCTGGGAAGCAGAAGAAAACAGTCCTTAGTCACTGGTATGGGTAACGCACGAGGCAGCCCGCACTCAGCAGCACTGCCAGATTGCAGAGTGCCCTTTCCTGGGGGAGCTGTGAGAGGCAGCCCGGGCAGTGCTGCAGTTCCCAGCCCGCTCAGCACCGCTGAGGCTCAGTCTGTCTGTCTGTCTGCAAAGCACTTGCTGGAGCTGGGGCTGCTGAAACAATGCTGGCCATCACTGCCTTGAGATTGAGACGAGCTGCCTTTTATACCATGAGAGTTCTCATCCTATTTATGGGGGAAAAAAAACAGCTTGGCAGAGAGTCACTTACAGTGCCAATCTGGAGGTTATTGTGAGATTTCTCCTGCAGGCAGCGACAAGCAGCTAAACACAGCAAAGTCTCCATTTATAACCCTCGGAGGACTCTAAAAGTGACAGTGTGCCTCTTCCATGGCTGTCTGTCTTTGTACCAAGAAGGCAGAACTCCCGATGGAAGCACTGATCTTTCTCCTGGTGAAGAGCAGCTCTCAGATGCCAGGTATTGTTCTCCCATTTTATTTTCTACCCCAGATCCGCCCTTTTCTCCATTCCTGGGCCATCCTGGTTGGGGCAGGCACAGCCCACTGTGTGCAGTAGCAGCCCAAGCACCCACACACTGGGGTGAAGGTGTGGGGTGAAGCTGTGGGGTTTCCACAGTGTAATCCTGTATGGGAATTCCTCCCTCCCCCCACAGCACCCGCTTCTCACTGCTGTTGGTTTTCTATCTCTGCCATAGGATCGTTTAGGAATTTTTATGGGTGTTCCATCACACCTCTTACACGCTTTGGCCCATGGTCGTTTGCATTTCTCCCACCTCTGTTCCCTTCAAAAGAATAACAGCCAACCTAGAATATTTATAACTGCTCTTGTTTACCAGATCCTTCCCCCATGGGTACGCCTCTGGATGGACTGAGGCAGCACCCATCTGGGCAGCTCACTGTTGGATGGCAGAAATGTCATCACTTCAAGGGGGAGTTCTCAGAAGAAAGCACACGAATGTTTCCAAACCCTGCATCCAGGCAGTACCAACCCATGCCCTGACGTGGAGCACAGTGCCCGGTGTGGGGCTGCCCAGCCGTGCCCCACTGTGTTTGCTGCCTTCTGCTCAGCTGCACACATTGCCCAGGGTGAGGGAAACATCTGCGACGCAGCCTGGGATTGCATCTCTGCAGGACTAATGTAGCGTGAGGGCATGGGGAGAGGAGCGCCCGTCTGAGCAGATTGCACATATCTCCTTTGATCAGAAAGGGGATATTTTCCGAGTGAAGCTTTTAATGCCCAGAACTGACAGCTCATCAGGAGAGAGAGAAGCACAGCAGCACCAGAGGGCTGAGCTCGTCTGCATTCCAGCCGAGTTACAGAACAGAAAGGCCCAGCCTGGCACTCAGTGGCAGCGCCCCATGCCACGAGCTCAGGCCAGGAGAGTTTCCCCTTCCAACCTCACCTACTTGCATGCACAAGCATGGAAATAACGTGACAACAATTTACAGTTCTTCCTCTCATTCCTCCAGTTGCATTTCATATCCCACAGCCTCACTGCCCACTCGAGCGAGTTTACCACGATTTGGCACTGTGCTTAACCAGCAACCACATCAAGGTGACCTACAGACAGCTCACCCTCAGGATGAGAGCTGCATCCCCTGGTGAGGATCCCAGCTGCACAGCACACATAGGGAGTTCCTGTCCTTCCCAAAGCACTCTGTGGCTCTGAGCCACACTTGTAGCTGCATTACCTTCAGCCACCCGTGTCCCTGCAGCTGCACGCAGGGGATGCAGCGCGTGTTGCACACCCAGGACACAGCTTCCAGCAGAGTTGGGAGCAGCTCTTCGCTCGTAGGGAAAGCATGGCCACATAAGGACACAGAGCATAGCTGGGACTGTGCCTCATGAAGGTAGCTTAGCACTTAGTGCGCGTGCCAGATATTGCTGAACCGACAGATGGCCCAGCAGATGCTCTGGGATAGAAGTGGCTTAGTAGGTGAACCATAAAAAAAGCATGAAGTACATGGAAAGAATAAACACCGCGCCATTCATAATGCAAGCGTCCCTTTTCTCACCCTGCTGAAAACCTCACCAAGTCCCACAGTTTATACACTGCTGCCAAGCCCCAGCCTGGGAGCACTGTGCAGAGCTGCTTAAACGCCATCAGCATCAGAGCTCAGCTGTGCTGTGTGGGAAGGAGCACTTCCATTCCCCAGCACAGCACAGCCCCTCCAACAGCCATCACCAAGCAGATCGGGCACTGCCTGCACAGCCCCATCTTTCTGCTGGTGCTGCTCTGTGCACTGAGTGCAGCCAGTAGGGAGCAAGCAGATGCGGGATACCAAGTGATGGGAAAGGCATGCTGAGGGGTTCCCTGACCCCCCAGCTGCCTGCAGGGGGTGCAGGCATTCAGCTGGCACAGTGGCTTCCTAAATGCAAATACACTCATTCCAGCCTCATCTGTAGGGATCGGAGAGGGAAGTACAGGGAGGAATGTTAAAACCACCATTGGGATTTAAAGGGAATGCCTATTTCCATTAAAGACATACAAATTCATTAAAGTGTAAATATATAGGACTCTGGGATGTCATGAAAGAACCATTTCATATTTAAGCTGCCCCGCCTGAATATTTAATAAAGATTTGTTTTTCATTTCCTACCATTGGAGGCATAAGCCCGTAAGCCAGGATCAGTCGCAGGAAAACCTTCAATTACAGCTGCACTGACCTTCCATGGGGGTGTTGTTGTCCGGGCGGTTGGCAAAGACCACATCCACGTATTCCAGCTGCAGGCGCTGCAGGGAGGCCCTCAGCCCTGAGGGACAAAGCAGAGAGCGATGTGGGATCAGCAGCAACAAAAGAGGTGCAGTGCAAGAGAGAATCACAGCTGGAAAAGACTTCTCAAGTTCCCAAACCTGCAATGGGCCCATGCAGCCCGCCCTCTTTTGTGGGCTTTGCAAGGAGCTGGTGGCAGTGTGTGCCAAAAGCCCACATACACGTGTGTGTGTGATGGGGAGATGTCCTAACACTTATTTTCTACAAATCTTCCCGGGAACAAAATGTTTTTTACAAATGTTCATGAAGAAGAAGCCAAAATAGAGCTGTCTGAAAACATTTGCTGAAGTTAGAGATCCAAGAAATGGCTGTTTTCACCAAGTGTGTTGAAGAGAATAGCTAACATCGACCTTAACACTATTTGATACTTCTCCGTGAAATCCTTTCATCTGTTGCCAGTGCTTCTCTGTCCTTTTGCAAAGCAGTTTCTCACTGAGGGGCAGAGGGGTGTTGGGATGGCCATGATCCCACCTGCACCATCTGGCTGCCCGCAGTCAGACACATCACCTCGGGGTTACCCACACCCCACAAAATGCTGCTCACCGTGTTATCCAGTGCTGCCTTAGTGGTGAAGTCATATGCTAATGTCACTGAGTTCTGCAAATGCAAAATGAGGAATGCATTCCTCATCATGTAATGGCCCCACTCTTTGGATGCTCCCCTTTCAGCTCTGCTCACCAAGCGTGCTGGTGGTGAAGCTGCTCCCTGGCACACCGTGAGAACCAGGCTGTGGTGGGACAGTGCCAAAAGCCCCTGAGAGGTGTGGGTACAGACCTCACAGCACAGCATCACTGAGAGGTATTTACCCTTTGGCAGCACAGGGCAAGCAGCAGCATGGCCCAATGCTGGGCCTGCTTTGTAGGGTTGGCTGATTCCCCACACACATCCCCTGTGCTTGGGGATGGCACTGCCTCCTAGACTGGCGTGTTCTCACCATAATAAGCTCACAGCTAATGCTGCTGATCCTTAATATGACAGAAATGTGCTTTTTCATGGGCACTGCTCTATTTGTGCCCCACCTGCAAAACACTGCTGTGCAGGCACGGATTCAGCCTGCAAGCAGCCCTGAGCCGCAGTCCCATAGGCACACAGTGCACTGCAGGACGGATACAGAAGGGCTGCAGCATGTGTGGGACTGTGCCCACTGTACCAGCAACCACCTGGCAGCAAACTCAGAGTTCTGGCACAGGAAAATACCTGAAACACAGCCAGGTGCAGCACCCACCTTCGATGATGTGCTTCCTCGAGAGCCCTCTCTCTGTTTCAGCCCTGCAAAGACAAAGCACACAGTTAGGGGGCTGAGGTGCCAGCCAGCAGCAGGCAGAGATGAGGTCCCACGTCCCAGCCAGGCGCAGAGTGAGGGGTGGCAGCCCTCAGCCCCAAGGCAACAGTCACCGCTCAGCATCACTGAACTTACTTTCCACCCCAGTACAGCTTTGTTGTGATGACCAGACTGGAGCGCCTAGGAGCAGAACAGAAAAATTGTTGTTAAATAAAGTGATCCCAGAAGAGCCCAGGCAGGAGCCCACCTGGCTCCAAGGCAGTGCCCTCCTCCCCAAAGGCACACTCACAGCATCCATGGGCAGCAGCATGGCTCGCAGTAAAGGAATGCTCCCTCAGGCATTAAAACCCCAGGAAAGATACATTTGCTGAATTAATCTAAAAACTCCAGTGTGATAGTAGATCAAATATTTATCATCATCAAACTATTTTGCTGCAAAATTCTACGAGTGTAACAATTTGCCTGGGTTTTGCTTGGCTTGACTTCTTTCTGCCACGGGATGTGGAACATTTCCCAGCGAGCATCCATCCCTCAGAACAGGGGCACTGGTTTCAGTGAGAGCACCGCTGGGACTGCTCTTTGGTTGCAGGCTATGACACACAGGGGAGAGCCTTAAAGATTATGTAAATGCTCTTAAAATGACACCACGTATGCTAATGCGCTTCATTTACATGAGGTATCATCTCCTACCAGGCGGCCAAGATGAAGGCCCATCACAGCTTTGCATTCTTAATATACAGCCTTACGTGTGTGCACAGACCTGCTGCACAGATAATCTGCCTCTGCCCTGTGTGCGGAAATGAGGATGAATGTGCAGAGATCAGAGAGTCACAGAATGGTTTTTGTTGGAAGGGACCCTTAATGGCCATCAGCCCTACTCCCTGCAATGCAGGGACACCCATAGCTCCAGCAGGTGCCCAGAGCCAGCTCCTAACCAGGCCTCCACCTGCCAGCAGCAGTGATGAGGAGCAGTTGGAGGGCTGGCTGCTGATGGAGATGCCCAGAGCCCAGCGCTTCCCACAGGACCTCCTGAGCCCCACACCAATTCTGGCTGGCCAATGCTCAGCATCTGTAAGGTCTTGGTGGGCTCCCCACTCCCACATGTCCCTGCCGTCCCAGTATGGTACCTCCAGCCCTTTTTCTTGAGGATGTTCCCCAGGATGACCTCAGCCCTGCAGAAAAGAGAAAACCCGTGTGAGAGGCACCAGAGGATGCTCAGGGCAAGCAGATCTCCACATTGCCCTGTGGTCCTGCACTGGACACTGTGCCCCAAAATCTGGGGATGGACTTTTTCCTTTTCTTAGTTCAGCAATGATACTGAAAGCGTGAGCTGTGCCAGAGCTCCTTGCTCGCGGAGTTTTCAGAGCTGTCACCATCATGGACCATTCATCAGCACTGAGACAGCACTGACTTGTCATTTATCCAGGATGTTTCCCAGTAAGTGCTCGAGGCGGCACCAGTGATGCATTTCAGCTGGGTGCAGTGTTGGCCTTTTTTTAAAGCCTGCTCCAGAAATGACCAAGTTTCCCAAATAGGAGATTTCCCAAGCAAAATCACGCCCGGAGGCACAGGGAAGGACCTCAGTGCAGCTGGGACCCCTCGTATCCAAACTCCACCCAACCGGGGACTCACTTGCCCGCCGCATACACCTCGGCCGTGTCGAAGAGGTTGACACCACTCTCGTAGGCGATGGTCATCAGCTGCTCAGCCACCTGTGGGATGGACATGGAGCTGAGTGAGGCAGTGCTGCCGGATGGTGGGTCACCCTGTGCCATCACACTGACCTCCCTGGGGACACGGAGCTGCAAAGCCCCCTGGGGCTGATCCTGGGAGGAACTGAGGGAAAAGCCCTGCGCTCTCCAATGGGAAAGCAGCCAAGAATTTAACAAGGTTACAGAAATCGCTCTGCAGATCTATGAGGTTTAGTGCAGGAATACATTTGTCTTCTTGTTCTGAGCATTGCCTTTTTGCATTGACTTATGCTAAACAAGGGGAGCTGGGAAGCCAGATTTGTCATTGAAACAACTCTTTTTGCTTGAGACCACAATACCCAGAAACAGGAATAAATGCAGCTCAGTGATGTGCAGCGATCAGAAATACCAGCAAAGGTCGAATCGCTTACAAAGAAAGAAAAACGTTTGAAAGCAGAATGCTGGGCCTCTTGCCTGCTGCAGAAGTTATTTTGGGATTTCTGCTGTGGCACCACACGGAGGGCTGCTGGAGCCTTCTCCCTTGTTACGAGCAGCCCTGGTGCACCCAGCCAGCAGCGAGCCCCAGCCAGTGGGAGGGAAACCCAAGCACCTTTCCTTTTGCTTCATCTATTAGGGAAAAATAACAAAATAAATGGAAATAAAACCACCACTGTGAGACACCACGCTGCTGCTAGCTATGACTGCCGCTCATTACACGCAGTCTGCAAAAATAGAGTTTTCCAAATTCTGCTCCAGGAGCAGAACTGCTGCCAATGGCACAGCACGGAAATACCGCTCCACGCAGCAGAGGGAAGGTTGTTTCAAGGGGGAGATGCTTTCATTAAAGCTGATCTTGGGAAATGTCAGATTCGTTAAGATATGTTGCAGCAGAAGCGTGAGCCTTGCCTTGCTTTGCATGCCAACGCTCTGCCATTTGCTGTCACCACGCCCCACTCCCGTTAGCTGGCCATGCTTTTATCTGTAAGCACTCCCCTTAGTTTTGCTTCCTGGGTGATACTGAAAGCAAAGGTCACTTACCTCATCTGAGATTTGACCTCCAAAAGTGACCCACGTCCCTACAAAGACCAAAACAACCGGTTATCGTGGGAAAGGCTCCTGCACCAATGTTTGTGTGTTCAGACCCACCAGGAGCAATTGGGAGCAGAGAAACATCCTGGAGGTGCTGAAACACATCACTGGGGCAGTGAGACGTCCCAAATCCCTGCTTCTGTGCTCACCAGAACACAAGCCCCAGTCAGGAAGAGCTCAGAGGTGCTGAAGCACTGAAACATGTGCAGAGAGACTTTCCCTGAGCCGGAGCCCAGCACTCACACTCACCCTTGGCCAAGATCTGCAGCAAAGGCCGTGCTCTGCCCACAGAGGTTTGCTTTTTCCCCTCACTAACAACTTTTCTACGCACCAGCTTTCTTTGCATATATGCAAAGTTACTTCTGAAGATGTGTTCACAAGGAAACTCTGGATTTCCTGCAGAAGAACCACAGCTTAGGAAAGGCCCTACAATTCCAGTCTGTAAAAGCTGGGCACACTGCTGCTGCTGGAACAGAAAAGAGACTTCTTCAAAGAGCACAGGTATTCCTGGCTCACACTGCATTGCCTCACCATGGGAAGCAAGCTGTTCCCTGCCAGGACCCACCACCACCACCACGGCTCCAGCAGGGCAGGGAAAGGCCCTCCTCCTTCCTGCCACATTCATTGCATTTCAAAGCCTTTGGAAAAAGTATTTTTCTTATCACGAAATGCTCTGGTGCCACATAATAATGATAAGAATGAAAATAGGCTTCATTTTATCATTAAGCTTCTTTGTGCAAGTAAAAAATCCGGCTAAGACTGATTTCCATGTTAAAGCTTCAGAAGAGTTATTTTTGTAAGAATACATTAAAATGCATCTTTTCTGGAGGAAGGAAAAAAAAAAAAAAAAAGCATTGAGACTGTTTACCACAAAGTGATTCTTAAACACATGTGGAGGTGGTGAGCAACGGGCAGGAGGAGCCCCCAGTTCAGCACAGGGCTGAGACACACAGACACCAGGGACAGACAGAAGGGATCGCAGCACGGCTGGGTTGGAAGGGACCTCAGAGATCACCCAGCTCCAATGCCTGCCGTGGGCTGGTTCCACCCACCAGCTCAGCGTCACGCATTGACTGATCAGAAATGAGCCTTCGGGTGCCTAAGCCACATGAGAACAACGAGCTCTTTCTCTCTTTAAATATAAATAGTAAATATATGCAGAACTGGGTACACCTTCACTCCATATACCCGCCTTCCCCATCCTCCCCATGGGGTGGGTGCTCAGCAGCTCAGGCTCATGATCATTGTCCAAGTGTTGGGAATGCCACTGCTCAGGAGCCCTGGAGGAATCACTGCCTTGGTGGCTGCAGGCCCAGCCAACAGGGTGCTGAGTCCATGCTCAGTAAGACAACCCCCAGGGCATCAGCAAACTGCAGTGCTCTGCTGCATCCAGGGCTGGGAGCAGCCTGAGGGACACAGTGTGTGCAGGAGAAGGTGCCAGGCCAAGAGCAGGACAGCCAGACATGCCAAGAGCAGAAGGACAGCCATACAGGTGGCCAAAAGCATTGACAAGGGCACAGCTGGGACACATGGGAGCGGCACAGGGCCGTGGTGCTGTGCCCAGAGAGGCTGCGGTTCCCAAAATTCCCTTCCAGAAAGCACAAAGCTCCTTTGGCATTTCCAGCAGCGGCTGAGGATGATTCACAGCCCAACAGGAGCAGCTCTGAAGGAAGAGATACAGGAGAAAAAAAATAATAAAGCATAACCCTTCCTTGTCCCCGCACCCAACAGCTGTGTGCCCTTTGCCTGTCCCCATTAGCGGTGTGAGCACAGCCCCAGCGCCCTCAGCCCCACGGGGACACCAGCACAGCCACAGAGCGTTTCGGGGCCCTTGACCTTTTGTGATCCTTTCTCTATTGTGTAAAAGGGAGCACTGACATGAGCGGAGATGTCTCGGAATTACCAGAGCACTGAGGCTGTCAGGAGGGGGAGTGAAGAGCAAGCTTGAAGCTGGGGACACAGTAGGAACACGGAAGGATGCAAAGGACATTTCTCCAGTGTGGGGTGTGTAGTGGAGCACAGCTCCAAGGCACAGCAGCTCCCCAGCCGCGCTTGCCCCACATTGGAAAGCTGCTTCCCAGCCGGATACCCGAGCTCCAAGGGAGGAATTTCTACACCAAAGCAGGATTCTGCTCCGTTCCCATCACAGCTCCCAGCCTCGCACGCTGTGACTATTTCTGGGTTATTTGCTGATGCAAAATTCACCGCTTGATAATTCCACTGCTGGCAGATGTGTCACCTTTCAGAAGAGCAGAAATCCTGGCTGGAAGACAGGGCTCAGCCTCCCCCGAGGACGGATCCCCGCCCCGCTGCAGTGAGGCAGTGCTGCACAAAGCTCCCGGCTGCCACATCCGTCCCTGCTCCACTGATGTCCGGGCGCCTTCAGCTATGGGCTCAGCAAAAGCTTTGCCCCAAAGCAAAGCCACAGAGGTGAAGGGAAAGGCCTGGCTTCTTTCTGCACCACAAGCTGCTGGGTCTGCACCATGGGGGGTGGCTCTGGCACATGGCAGTGGGTATTGCTCTGCAGCTGTGGGAACCTCTTGTATTGTGAGGTTTCTCCTGGGCTTCTTCGTGAGGAATTGGATTTTCTGGATTTGGATTTTAGGATTTGGGGTGGCTGCTTTCATCCTGCTGCTCCTTTCCTCGCAGCCCTCCCTGCCTTGCTGGAGGCCGTCCCTGCGTCTGCTGAACACCAGCAGCCCATCTTCACAGGCTGAATTTGCTTTGAATTAACCACCAGGAAACATGACCTTATTTCTTCCTGCACCCCAAACGCAAACCTTCCACAGCCCATGCACTTGCCCGGGGCGGGACTCTGTGATATTCCCATTTGAAATTCTCACCTTGGGCTCACCGACAGAGTGCACAGATGTGCCCACGCAGTGAGATTTCAGATCTGTGAGGCAGATTGCTGAGCTGGCAGAAAGTTGGGTACAACTTCAATTGGATTTGCATGCTGCAGGGGCTTAGGGAGACAAATGCATCTCCCAGGGAGCTGCGCAGGGAGCTCATAGAGCAGCTACCCAAGTGGGCACTGGGGCAGACACTGACAGTCATGCAGTGTGAGAGGACCAAGCTGTGCTCTGGTGGAGCAATGACTGCTGAACCCAAGGCTCCCTGCTCCCCAACCCAGCACACCCTGGGCTGCAGAGTCTTGGGAACAGCATGAGAACACCACGGTGTCACCGCCCCATTGCACCAACCCCACACCTGCCCAGCTGCCAGCACCCAGCCCTGCAGCTGTGCTCCCAAGGGCTGATCTATAGGGACTTGGCCCCACGTGTCTGCAATTAAAGAAAAGCTCTGCAAGGCATTTTTCTGCCACCACTTCCTCTCACACAACATTTGCTCTTGGTGAAACTGCAAGTGTGAAAGAAAACTCTACACCAGCTCGTAAGTCCTTTAAAAGCCCAGCATCTATTTTGGTCAGAAGAGCTCTTCTTGCCGGAATAGGACTTATTTTTATGACTTATAATAGAGGGTGACTTGCATATCCCCCTCTATTTTAAAGTCAACTCTCAGAACATTTTGAGAAAAAAAACGCATTTTAAAGCATTGCTCACGTTGGGTGGTACAACTGCTGGCAAGGGAGCCGATAGGGCCAGGGACCTCACATACCCCTACCACACCACACCACTGCCCACATCCCTCAGTGCCACATCTCCACGTTTCTGAGCACCTCCAAGAATGGTGACCCCGCTTCTCCCTGGGCAGCTGTGCCAATGCCTGGCTGCTCTTTGGAGGAAAAATATTTCCTAATATCCAACCCAATATTATATCCAGCACTTCTGGAATAAAGCTCTGTTCTTCCCTGTAGCACTTCAGAAGTGAAGGTTTGCCCAGAAGCCATGGGGCTCGGGCCATGCACTCACCCAGGCCGAGGCATGAAACACGCAGTCCGGATTTCCCAAGGTTCCTAGGAAAAAAGAAATAAAACTGCGTTAGACCCATGAAGGACACTGATTGGGTAAAGCAGCTGGAGAATGCTGCTTTTCATAGGATGGTTGGAGTTGGAAGGGACCTCTAAATGCCCTCAGTTCCATCCACTGCAGTACAGGGGCACCCACAGCTCCGTCAGGTGCTCTCAGCCCATCCCCTGACTGTCTGCTGGTCTGGACGTCCACCCCTCTGGGCAACCTGAGCCAGTGCCTCAGCACCCTTATTGCAAAGAGCTTTTTCTTTATATCCGGTCTAAATCTGCCCCTTTTGGTTTGAAGCCATGTGTAGGAAGGCTGATAGCAGCACTCACACCCCCAGCGCTGCTCCCTGTGTCAGAGCTCTCACTCAGCACAGCCGCAGGTTACACCCCTACCTAACATAAAGCTGTAACACAAAAACCCACTAATTACAGCTTCCTGCTTTAGCCTTCACATCACAGCCAGGTCTGTGCAACTTCTCTGCCAGCCCAAGGTGTAACACGGGGCCACCTCTGTACTTCCAGTGCTGAGCAATTACTGCACTTTGTTTCTGCTCTGCATGAATTATTTAGAGCCCAAAGAAAGAACAGGACAACCATCCCACTCTCCCAAAAGCCAGCTCAGTGGTGGTCCTGCATCATTTGGGCACTTTTACCTCCCCACGGCCCCCAGCTGGCACGGGCCAAACCCACTGCAGTGCACAGCTCCAAATTGGGGGCTGGCATTCAGATGCTGGAGCAGCACCACCTGCCCCAGGCTCACAGCAGACTTGAAGCTGGCACCGCCCCCATTCTTTCTGTCCTTTTACATGAGAACACCGCTGGATCCCCATATAACAAACGGATACAGACAGCACCAGCGATGCCAACCTACACATGACAGCTGCCTGTGCCCCCAGCTGGGCAGCACTGCCTCTGGCAGCTCACGGCAGCAGGGCTGTGGGTCACATCACCCCAACAGAGGTGGTGTTTCCAGTAGGGATCTGCCATTGGAAACTGCTTTTTGCTGGTTGAGCTGCAGCCGGCTCCTCACAGAGCCCTGTCTGCTAATGGATCTGGGCAGTAACACCGTGTTTGGCTTCCCAAACGCTGTCCTTGCCATGTGCTTTGTGTGCACGTGGCCGGGGTGCTGGAAAAATTTATGTCTATTGGAAAGAGCCGATGCTGAAAATGCCAAATCCTTTTAGTGCAAATGGAACCCAGTGGCTGCTCAGCTTGCGAGAGGGCATCCAGCACACGGTGCACAAATGAGGAATCTAGCTCTAATTGAATTCACTTTGTGTAGAAGCAGAGATGGTCGCTCTGTGCGTTCCCCATAAGGTTTGGCACCAAATGAGTGAGGCACGCAGAGCTCAATGGGGCCAGCAGCCCACAGTTGCCCCAGTGCCTCATAACCCCCCCTCCTGGGCACTGCCCCTCCATTCACATGCTCCAATTAGCAGGAAGGCTGCACACAGAGCAAGCAGAATCAACACCTGCCTGGGGCACCTCGCCTCCAGCACAGCCCTCACACTGCTCAGAAGCATGTGGCCATTGATCTGGGGACCGTTCCTGGGGCAGATAGATGCCTTGAGCAAACAAAAGCCTTCCAGAGCTGGCACCTCTCAGCCCCTTAAAAGAAGCCACATGTGTACACGCACAAAATAAAGCAGAAAAAAATACATGTACATACCAACTTGCATCTTCCAAGTGTGCACATATATGCAGATACATTGGATGCAGATACATTATCTGCACATGTTTATTTATGCACACGCATACATGCACACATACCTGGAAGCTGCAAAACCACCAAGTGAAATCAATGGTTTGTTTCCAACTAACTGGAGGGTGGAAGCTGCAGAAGTCCCAGCCCCAGCCCCATGGCTTCCAGCAGAACCCCCAGCACCGAGCATTGCCCTGTACGGAGCAGAGCATCCTCAGCCAGCAGGAGCTGCCCAAACTGCTCACATCACAGTGCTGTGCCCTGGGACATGGTTGAGAAAAGCTCTTCCTCGCACATAGGACAGGGACTGAGTACACGGCGTGGCACAGCAATGGCACTCCCATACCTGCTGCCTCACAGTGTGAGCTCGTGGCCCTGTGGCACTGCAACAGCTGTTAGGCTTGCACTGATGCTGCTGATTTGCTCCCGCAGGACATTGCACTTTGGGAGCCCGTGCTGCAGGGGGGAGATGCCATGAAGCAGAGCACCTGGGTCCGTGTGCTGAACCCCAGCAGCTCAGATCCATCCTTCACTCACACGCTCAGCTCTCCTTGCTGCTCCCACCTCTGCCATCCCTGTCTCTGCACTGTGAGGGATCAGAGCACCATCAGCAGGAGCTGAGATGCATTCCACATCACATCCCTAGTTACAAAAAACAAAGCCTAAAGACAAGCAGCTTCATTTTCAGAAAAAGCAAACAAAAACCTCTCCGAGAACCCCACCTGAAAGCATCAGCCCTGAGCCAGTCCCATCCCAGAGTTGAAGACATTGGGTACCAGCATGAGGAGAGGGTGGGACACAGCAGCCAGCTTGGACCCTGAGTGCCACAGCCCCAGGAGCAGAGGGACATCCATCACTGCACCACAGTCCATGCACTCATTATGAGAGAGGACGCTCCAGGCTGAAGTATTTGCTCACCTTTTTTCCCCTCCTAAACTTCACAAGATTTTTATCCGGGCAGAGATGGAAAGATGCAATCTTGCAAGATACCATCAAGTTTATGGAGCTTGCAGGAAAAAAAGCAGGGGTATTTTGTCACAATGTGGTCAGCAAGATTCTGCATCAGTGAGCACCTGGCACCTTGGAAAGTCTCTGCAGCCCTTTAAACACACGAAATTATGCTCATCAAAGAGAATTTGGTTCCGGACCTGGCTGCGATGCTGAATAAGCAGAGCCTTTTATTTCCACAGAACTGGGGGAAAAAGTGTTTTGCTTGTTGGGCATTTTGCTGAGAGCAAATCTTTGAGCAGAACCATTCAAATATTGGATGGAGAGGTGCAACAGAGCCGAAGAACATGCAGGAGGAGTTCATGGTGCGGCTGAAGCCACAGTGGTATGTTCACAAGAAGGGAACAACGGTGGCTTCCAACCACAGGGATGATGGGTTCAGTGACGGGAAGTGGAAAAGAGGGGGAACAATGCATTGCACAGGAAATGCAGAACAGAGGATAACGAGAGGCATCTGAGATAAAGACTGACTGTAAGAATTCAAGGAGGGGGAAAAAAAGGCTTATTTTCGGGAATCTCAGAACAAAGGCTGAAACCCATCCCCAGGGGATGCTTCTTTGTGATGTGGCACTGTAGGAAGATCAGATTATGTCTGAAATAAAAGTTAATTTTAGTTAAAAAGACAAAAAGGCTTAAAACCAAGATGAATATTTGGCAATGAAAAGTGAGACTAATCACAGTGCTTAGCAGCTCCCTGAGGCCATTTAACTCCTTCTCTGGAAGAAATCTGATGGGAACTATGTTCAGTGGCACCGCTGGCTGCCTGCAGCCCTCAGGGACCCCTTTTCACAGGAGGAGGGCATCCACATGAGTTGCAAAGCTTTCCTCCAGTTCTAGGTTTGCTTTTCACTTCTCCTTTACAACTTTCTCCTAGTGAAGGTGCCTCTGTCAGCACCCACAGCCACTGCATAGGCCCAGGGCTGCCACCATCCATCCTGCAGCACAGTTGCACACACAGCAGCAGTGCAAGGGGGAGCAAATGGCATGCAGTGCCTTAGAAAACCCAGAGCAAACCTCACAGCAGGAAAAAAGAAAAGGGAAAAAGGAGCAGAAGGCTGCTGTGGGCAGTGATGGGTGCTGCAGCTTGGTGCTCTCCCCACTCCTGGGGGCTGGGGTTGCCCCAATGGCTCTCAGCATTGTTCCACAGCACTTAGCCTGAGTGCTTTAGCTTCTCAATTCCACTCCATTACTTCCTCAGGAAGGTCCTCTCTCTGCAGTAGCTGCATGCAAGCTCCTTCCCCATCTCTGCTATAGACAGCTTGTTAAGTAACACCATATCATTTCTTGCTTGAAAAACGTCCTTCCCTGTGATGCCCTGTCCCAATTAACTCAGGGGTGCACAGGGCAGCCAATTATAAACCCTGCTCATTGAAGCTCCCCTCACCCAAGCTCACAAAAACCCTTTCAAGTGAAACCAGCCAGGTGTGAGGAGTGTCAGCACGGCACAGCAGCAAACCCACTCAGCACAGACCCCAAGCACAGCCCCTCTTTGTGCCCCAAGCTCAGCCAATGCCTCCCCTGGGTATCTCACAGTCACTTTGACTTTAATTATTTCCTCTAAAGAGTAAATGCTGACAGTGCACTCAGGACTGAGCAGGACCAAAAGGAAGATATGATTCATTTCTACTCTATGGGTTGGGGTGGGGGCCACAGTGGGACATAGCATGCTTGGCCATGTCCCAAGGACGCTCAGAGCTGACTGTCCTTAATCAAAGGGAAAGGGGAGAAAGCATACCCAAGAAGCAGCCCATGCCATATGGCAAGAGTGGTGCTTGTCTCCTGTGGCACAGGGCAGAAAGCAATTGTAATTAACTGCTTTTAATTAACTCTAGTGCAGGGGAATGTGTAGCATAGCCCAGTGATAGCTGCAATGCTGGAGGCAGCATTACTGCAGGGAGCATCCCTGCGCCAAGCATCACCACAACCTGCATCACTGCAATCCCAAGCCCTGAGCTCCCCAAGTCCCAGGCCCTTCTAGGCTCTCTGTACCCCCATAGGAAGAAGCACTCACCCAGCACCCTGCTGCAGACCTGACCTGCTGTTTTTCATACTGTTGGCCCTGCCACAGCCCCCACACACCTCTCAGGCAGCACCTGAGACTGCCCTGTGGTTCCGTGTGGGGAGCATAGTCACACACCCAAAACCTACAGCCCTCTTGGCAGTGATTTATGGCCAGTGCCTCCTGTGCTGCTTAATCAGCTAATTAGCCGACAGCTGCTGCCTGCTACAATGATAGGACAAAGCAATCAGGAACAAACACACCTGGTTATGCAGAAACATCTCAGTG